TCATCATCCCCTATGTGTGCGATTTGGAAAAAGGTGAGGAAATTGTGTGGTAAGTACACTCTGGACCCAGCTCCTGTTTTGCGGGTTGCTGGAGTTAATGTCGCAGAACCCCTAGAAGTTGCCACAGAAATCGGGAACTATCTTGCCTGTATCTTCCGAGAGCTTCACCTTTGTCCCTCATTTCTTATGTTGAAGCCTGCCAAAGAACAATTGCCCTTTGATTTCTCCTCCGATGGATTAGAGCCATATAACGTACCTTTTACTCTCCTAGAACTGGAGTCCACACTTTCCATTTGCCAGCCATCGGCAATGGGACCTGATGATATCCACATCGGTATGCTACAACATCGCCATTCTATGGCTCTTCCCGTTCTTTTACATCTTTTCAATCTTATTTGGGAGCGAGGGGCTCTCCCTCAACAATGGAAATCAGCTATTGTACTACTGTTTCACAAACTGGGCGCCTTGGGACTTGACACTTCTCACTCTCGTCTCATGATGATGGAAAGATTAGTAAATAGACGTCTGATGTGGTTCTCAGAGACTCAGAATAGCCTTTCCCTTCGCCAATATGGCTTTCACAAAGGCCGTTGTACTGTAGACCCCTTGCTCCACTTCGATACGTATATTTGAAATACCTTTGCTAACAACCACTCTGTCCTAGTGGTCTTTTTGGATCTAGAGAAGGCATATGACACCACTTGGAGGTATAACATTCTTGCCCAAGCCCACTCTTTAGGCCTCTGCGGTAATCTATCACACTTCATAGCTGCTTTCTTGTTCGATAGACTTTTTCAGGTCTGTATTGGCACCTCACTTTCCTCAAACTTTGTACAAGCCAAGGGAGTCCCACAAGGTTGTTTCCTCAGCACTACTATTTTTCTCTTAGCTATAAATAACCTTCCATCCGTTCTTCCTTCGCATGTTTGGTCGTCACTTTATGTTGATGGCTTCGCTATAGCTTACTCAAGTGCTGACTGTTGACTAGTAGCAGCCTCCCTTCAGGTTGCGATTGACAGAGTCTCCCACCGGACCACTTCTCATGGCTTCAAGTTTTCTGATACAAAAACCCAATCCATTACCTTCACTAGATGTCCGTTTGTTCTGGATACTCCACTGTAATTATAACGGTTCACGTGTTCCAGCATGTGATATGATCAAGTTTCTTTGCCTGCTCTTTGATCGCTGGCTGACGTGGAGACCTCACATTTCTTCTTTAAAGACAACTTGCCATGGTCGGCTAAATCTCCTTAAGGTCCTCGCACATCATTCATGGGGAGCAGATCATCGCACTCTCTTCCGTTTGCGTTCCACCCTCATCTTGTCCAAGCTAGATTATGGTGACCAAGTCTATTCTTTGGCCTCTCCCGCAACTCTTTCTAAGTTAGATCCCATTCATCACCAAGGTCTCCATCTGTGCCTTTCGTTCATCCCCAGTTGAAAGCCTCTATGCAGAGGCGAATGTTCCTTTCCTAGCTGATCGTCATGATGCTCACTGTCTTCGCTATTTTGTCCGTGCTCATGATCTTCGTATTCCTTTCACGTATAGGTTAGTCTCAGACATTAATAGGAACCCACTGTTTGTTCGAAGCCCCTGCCTACTCTGACAGTTTTCTCTTCGCATTCACTCCCTCCAATCTTCTCTCCAGTTACCCCCCTTGTATGTTCATTTAGCGTCTGCCTTCTCCCTTACCCCTTGGGAAGCTCTAACAGTTCATATCTGCCCTCCCCCTCCACTACCGCGCACCAAAGCTTTCTTACCTATGTCTGCTACTCGCTCTCTTTTTCTCAAGCACTTCCGGTTGCATGCTCATGGTATTGATGGTGTTGGGTTCGCAGCAGTTTTCCTGATGATGTTGTCCGAGGACACTTGTTGGACTCAGCTAGTGTTTTTACTGCGTAGTTGTAGCTATCCTTATAGTGCTTCTTCGTATTACTACATTTAAGTCTCCTTTGATGTCTGTGATCATTTCGTTTTCCATCAGTGCTTTAGAAGCCATTAAACAATTTGACTCCCCTCATCCATTAGTCCTCCGTATTCAACAATGGTTGCACCGTGTGGCTAGCAAGAATAAAGCTGTCATTTTCTGCTGGGTCCCTGGTCACGTTGGTGTTGAGGGCAATGAGCAGGCAGATGCTGCTGCAGAGTCAGCAGTGCATGATCTCCCAGTTTCTTATAGGGGTATTCTGTACAGGGATTATTTTCCAGTCATCTCTGCCTGTCTCCGCTGCCGCTGGCAACAACAATGGTCAGGCATATGCCCTAACAAATTGCACTCTATTAAACCGCTATTAGCTTTGTGGCCATCTTCCTACCACCGTTGCCATTCTCAGAAGACTGTGCTCTCCCGGCTCTGCATTGGTCATACACGCCTTACCCATGGGTATCTCATGGATAGACGCCCTGTTCCTCACTGTGAGGCTTGTCAGGTCCCTATTTCGGTTCTTCACTTCCTTGTCAATTGCCTGATTTACCAGTGAGCTTGCAGGATTCACCTCCAGTGATGCCACCGCTCTACCACTCTTACTTTATCTTCTCTACTTGCAGACGACCCCACCCTTGACTCCCGAGCACTTTTTGACTTTTTGTCAGCAAATGTCTTATTATATGAACTTTGACACACAGCACTTAGCATCCCTTCCATCCCTTTTCTCCCCTCACCTCTGATCCCCTCTCCACCTAGCTGATTATAACTTCCACATTACATACTGCCTAGCAGCGCTGTATGACCCTTGTCAGTTTAGCCTTTTCTCTGATTATAATAATAATACAGTGGACCCTCAGTTAACAATGCCATCGGATAGCGATAAAATCGGATACTGATATGTTTTTGTGTCAAAATATTGGCTCAGCTAACTATGAAAAACTCAGTTAAGGACATTCGTCCTGAATGTGTCCATGCAGCCTGAGCCCATGTACAGCCAGTGTGCCATTGTTTACAAGCCAGTGAGGATGATTCCACACGTACGTGCGATATATTTTGTATTATTCCATTGTTTTTAGTGCTTGTAACTGCTAAATAAGCCACCACGGGCCCAAAGAAAGCTTCTAGTGCCAGCCCTGTGGTAAACAAGGAAAGAAACACAATGTAATTCAATTCGTAGCAAAATACCAAAGTGGAGGAGGAAGAGAGAGGGGAGAATGTGCCTTCTGCAGTGATTCAGTGATTCTACGATACTAAAGCAGCTTACCTACCACACCCTTTCTAAATGTTTCTCCTACTTTAGCATTTAGGTCCCCTACCACAATTACTCTCTCACTTGGTTCAAAGGTTTCTAAACATTTGCTTAACATCTCCCAAAATCTCTCTCTCTCCTCTACACTCCTCTCCTCCAGATGCATACACGCTTATTATGACCCACTTTTCACATCCAACCCTTATTTTAATCTACATAATCTTTGAATTTACACATTTATATTCCCTCTTCTCCTTCCATAACTGGTCCTTCAACATTATTGCTACCCCTTCCTTAGCTCTAACTATCTCAGATACTCCTGACTTAATCCCATTTATTTCTCCCCACTGAAACTCGCCTATCCCCTTTAGCTTTGTTTCGCTTAGGGCCAGGACATCCAACTTCTTTTCATTTATAACATCACCAATCATCTCTTTCTTAATTAGTTTGATGGAGGAGATGCTGGCAGAGGTTTAGGGTGGTGGAAGATAGCAGGGTGGCGTATGTTAAGTGGCCCTATACACCTCGAACAACATTGGAGAGTTACTTTCATGTTGTTTTTCTATCGCTTACTCGCTTAACTTACTTGCTACAATGTTAATTCTATACTTTATCACTGGCTGGCACTATAGCCTTTATCGACACTTGCTGCTTTAGTATCGTACATATTGCAGAATCACTGAAGAAGGCACATTCTCCCCTCTCTCTTCCTCCTCCACTTTGGTACTTTGCTACGAGTTTTTTCTTGAATTCTATTGTGTTTCTTTCCTTCTTTACCAAAGACCTGGCACTAGGAGCTTTCTCTGGGCCCATGGTGGCTTATTTAGCAGTTGCAAGCACAAAAAACAATGGATTATTATGAAATGTATCGTATGAACCCATGGGGTGATGGTCACTCGCTGATAAACAATGGTACACAGTGTGAATGGTGCGGGAGACTGGCTTTGTGTGCACGCTGATGCTGGGATACCGCTCGGACACGTACCAGACAGTCACGGAATCACAAGGCCAGTCATGAACCGCAAACCAATATTTTGACCAAAAAAGTTGCTGTAAAGTTGCAGCTGCCGAAATGCGGGGGTCCACTGTATATACACACCCTTCTGGGTTTTCTTCTATTTTTCCTACTAGTTCTTGTTCTTATTTCCACTTATCTCCATGGGGAAGTGGAACAGAATTCTTCCTCCGTAAGCCATGCATGTCGTAAGAGTCAACTAAAATGCCAGGAGCAAGGGGCTCGTAACCCTTTTTCCTGTATACATTACTAAATGTAAAAAGAGAAACTTTCGTTTTTCTTTTTGGGCCACCCCACCTTGGTGGGATACAGCCAGTGCGTTGAAAGAAAGAAATATATGTAAGTGGGTATTTGTGCATACACAAGAATTTGTGGTGTTCAGCAATATTTCTTTAAAGGCAATTTCTGAAGATGTAAGTGATTGAGTACTACAATAAAAAAGGAAGACATTGAAAACCTTCCCTAGTGCAATAAATACCTTGTACAGTGGACCCCCGGTTTACGATATTATTTCATTCCAGAAGTATGTTCAGGTGCCAGTACTGACCGAATTTGTTCCCATAAGGAATATTGTGAATTAGATTAGTCCATTTCAGACCCCCAAACATACACATACAAATGCACTTACATAAATACACTTACATAATTGGTCGCATTGGGAGCTGATCGTAAACCGGGGGTCCACTGTATTTAGTCTCTAATATACATTACAGTAGTTTCAAGTTCAAAATAAAAAATTTAAGACATATTTTTATAAAATTGGCAATAAAAATGTACAATAATTAAAAATGGTAAATATAAAACTCACCCAAGTCGGCATCATTCTTGGGGCGGGCATACACAGCATTCAGTGGGAATGACGGCTCTCCAGGAATTGGAAACTTTGAGACAGCTAAAGAGTACATCTCATTAGCCCCTGTATTCTTGTCCTTGCATTTTGCCAGTTTCTTCAGGCATTCAGTGATGTACAGTGTCACATAGATTAGTGTACGGTCGCATTCACCCTGTTGATGAAAGCAGCATGTACATACTATGTACATATTAGAACATAGTTCACATAATCAATAAACAATGATGAGAGGTTTGATAAGCTTTTTTTTTTACTCCGGCAAGTTATTAAAGAAGATGAACATTATGCAACAGATCTCAGTGGTAAATATAAGGGTACAATGGGTGGTACCTCGGGATACAAACTTAATTCGTTCCACAAGGCTGTTCAAGTGCCATACCAAACAAATTTGTTCCCATAAGGAATAATGTAAATTAGATTAATCCGTTTCAGACCCCCCAAAAATACAGTTGCAAAAGCACTTACATAAATACACTTACATAATTGTTCGAGTTTTGAGATGTTCGTATCCCGAGGTACCACTGTATATTAAAAAACTAACTTAATCTATGTATACATTTTGCAATACTGTATATATATGCATAGTGGTATTTTGTTTATCATCTTAGCAGTAGCATGCTAACTGTTAAAGAGTTCCTTGACCATTTACACCTCTAGCAACATTCAGACAAAATAATTATAACAAATTTTCCTCTTCCTATCAACTACCTGTTAAATGTTCTTTGCACACACACTCAACATCCTCTTCCATTATTCTAGACACGGTATTGTGCCTTTTTTTGTTATGCTAGATCAAATAATTTACTACAGGAAGACCCTGTTTGTATGGCTCTTAGGTTCCTGACCCTGGGTGATAAGCAAAAATCGCCAGTGAGTGGAAAAAAAAAAACAGTTTTTTCAATACTGAATGCGTCTGAAATGCCCGATAACATTCACACTATCAAATATTAAGTGCTCCATACAGCTAGGCATAAAAAAAAAAGATACGAAAATAAATACCTACACAGCACATACAATACTTATCTTATATATGGCACAAGTCACCCTTCCCTTATGTAACTGTTATGTAGAAAAGCAGTGAGGGGTTTTTGACCTAAGACACTGGACCTGTGCCCCCCTTCCTTGGATATAACCTAAATGCTCCCAGTACTCCCAGGCATTGTATGATACCCATGGGTTTAGCACTCCTTCATGAATTTATATATTGTTTTTTTTACTGAATCATCAAATACATATGCATACAAATAGTTCCAGCCACCTTGCTATTGGTGAAGGACTTTTTATTCAAAGAATTTAAACCACTCATCCCTTCCTTGGATCAAACATGATTACCTTCCACTCCCCCTAACTGCATGACAAATATATGCTTAGCACTTAATATAATAAAATAATAATAAAAATTTTTGGAGTTAAACAAGTTAAGAAAGCCTAGGGAAAGTATGGATTTGTCAGTTAAAAACAGAGTAGGGGAGTTAGTAGATGGGGAGAGGGAGGTATTAGGTAGATGGCGAGAATATTTTGAGGAACTTTTAAATGTTGAGGAAGAAAGAGAGACGGTAATTTCATGCACTGGTCAGGGAGGTATACCATCTTTTAGGAGTGAAGAAAAGCAGAATGTAAGTGTGGGGGAGGTACGTGAGGCATTACGTAGAATGAAAGGGGGTAAAGCAGCTGGAACTGATGGGATCATGACAGAAATGTTAAAAGCAGGGGGGGATATAGTGTTGGAGTGGTTGGTACTTTTGTTTAATAAATGTATGAAAGAGGGGAAGGTACCTATGGATTGGCAGAGAGCATGTATAGTCCCTTTATATAAAGGGAAAGGGGACAAAAGAGACTGTAAAAATTATAGAGGAATAAGTTTACTGAGTATATCAGGAAAAGTGTACAGTAGGGTTATAATTGAAAGAATTAGAGGTAAGACAGAATGTAGGATTGTGGATGAGCAAGGAGGTTTCAGAGTGGGTAGGGGATGTGTAGATCAAGTGTTTACATTGAAGCATATATGTGAACAGTATTTAGATAAAGGTAGGGAAGTTTTTATTGCATTTATGGATTTAGAAAAGGCATATGATAGAGTGGATAGAGGAGCAATGTGGCAGATGTTGCAAATATATGGAATAGGTGATAAGTTATTAAATGCTGTAAAGAGTTTTTATGAGGATAGTGAGGCTCAGGTTAGGGTGTGTAGAAGAGAGGGAGACTACTTCCCGGTAAAAGTAGGTCTTAGACAGGGATGTGTAATGTCACCATGGTTGTTTAATATTCAGTGGACCCCCGCTTAACGATCACCTCCCAATGCGACCAATTATGTAAGTGTATTTATGTAAGTGCATTTGTACGTGTATGTTTGGGGGTCTGAAATGCACTAACCTACTTCACAATATTCCTTATGGGAACAAATTCGGTCAGTACTGGCACCTGAACATACTTCTGGAATGAAAAAATATCGTTAACCAGGGGTCCACTGTATTTATAGATGGGGTTGTAAAGGAAGTAAATGTTAGGGTGTTCGGGAGAGGGGTGGGATTAAATTTTGGGGAATCAAATTCAAAATGGGAATTGACACAGTTACTTTTTGCTGATGATACTGTGCTTATGGGAGATTCTAAAGAAAAATTGCAAAGGTTAGTGGATGAGTTTGGGAATGTGTGTAAAGGTAGAAAGTTGAAAGTGAACATAGAAAAGAGAAAGGTGATGAGGGTATCAAATGATTTAGATAAAGAAAAATTGGATATCAAATTGCTGAGGAGGAGTATGGAAGAAGTGAATGTTTTCAGATACTTGGGAGTTGACGTGTCGGCGGATGGATTTATGAAGGATGAGGTTAATCATAGAATTGATAAGGGAAAAAAGGTGAGTGGTGCGTTGAGGTATATGTGGAGTCAAAAAACGTTATCTATGGAGGCAAAGAAGGGAATGTATGAAAGTATAGTAGTACCAACACTCTTATATGGGTGTGAAGCTTGGGTGGTAAATGCAGCAGTGAGAAGATGGTTGGAGGCAGTGGAGATGTCCTGTTTAAGGGCAACGTGTGGTGTAAACATTATGCAGAAAATTCGGAGTGTGGAAATTAGGAAAAGGTGTGGAGTTAATAAAAGTATTAGTCAGAGGGCAGAAGAGGGGTTGTTGAGGTGGTTTGGTCATTTAGAGAGACTGGATCAAAGTAGAATGACATGGAAAGCATATAAATCTATAGGGGAAGGAAGGCGGGGTAGGGGTCGTCCTCGAAAGGGTTGGAGAGACGGGGTAAAGGAGGTTTTGTGGGCGAGGGGCTTGGACTTCCAGCAAGCGTGCGTGAGCGTGTTAGATAGGAGTGAATGGAGACGAATGGTACTTGGGACCTGACGATCTGTTGGAGTGTGAGCAGGGTAATATTTAGTGAAGGGATTCAGGGAAACCGGTTATTTTTCGTATAGTCGGACTTGAGTCCTGGAAATGGGAAGTACAATGCCTGCACTTTAAAGGAGGGGTTTGGGATATTGGCAGTTTGGAGGGATATGTTGTGTATCTTCATATGTATATGCTTCTAAACTGTTGTATTCTGAGCACCTCTGCAAAAACAGTGATAATGTGTGAGTGTGGTGAAAGTGTTGAGTGATGATGAAAGTATTTTCTTTTTGGGGATTTTCTTTCTTTTTTGGGTCACCCTGCCTCGGTGGGAGACGGCCAACTTGTTGAAAAAAAAAAATAATAATAATAATACAGTTGGTTAACTATTATTTATATTTAAATAAGCAACAAATGTGTTTTACTTGAACTGCTGTTTTAGAACAAATTTAGTTTTAAATTACTATCAATCTCAGTACAGTGGACCCCCGGTTAACGATATTTTTTCACTCCATAAGTATGTTCAGGTGCCAGTACTGACCGAATTTATTCCCATAAGGAATATTGTGAAGTAGATTAGTCCATTTCAGACCCCCAAACATACACGTACAAACGCACTTACATAAATACACTTACATAATTGGTCGCATTCGGAGGTAATCGTTATGCGGGGGTCCACTGTATATTAAGAATAGGTATATTAAAAAAAAGTCCCTTGTAAGCTCACCTTAACTTCATAGGTTCTGAAGAATACATTTGCCTTAAAATATTGCAATGCTTCATCAATCACATCAAGGCCATCACCAGACATGAGAGGTGCAGGTCCTCTATATTTAGTTCTTATAGGAAGCATTGCCATATTGCCCACAGTCGAGCCAGGATGAGCAAGGCTGCAGTGGTATGCCTGACAAATGAACACATAGTACTGTTATTAAATAAGTCCCAACTCAGAGATGGAGAATTGAGCCTTCACCACTCATACCTTTGATGAGTTTCGAGTCTCTCACTACTCTCGGAGCCTGGCCATGGGCCAAGCTCATAATGTAATATGACCCACAGGAGCTTGGCACTAAATGAAATATGTATCACAGTTCAGAGGAGCCTCCAGAAGCTCTCTATAGAGGAGTGGTGGCAATCTGGCTGGAAGAGGGGACTAGGGGTCTCGTATATTTTAATGGTAAAATATACTGAAAGGTATGTGAGTAAGATACAATAAGATGTTTATGGCATTTATTGAGAAGACATTTTGTCCACCATGGACTTCATTAATCGATGCAGCTATAAAACAAGTGAGCATACTGTATATATATATTATAGTAAATTACATCATGATATATACATGTATCCAGTTTTGTTAAAAAACATAAAAAAATGGTTCAACTCCCAATCTCTGCCTATAATTTGAAAAAATGAGTTGTATCAATTTGGCCACCGTATCATTAATGTAAGTTTAGTACTTTTAGTGATAAATTTTTAATAAATGGACAAGTAACATAATTTATCTTAAGATTTATTTTACAGTATCTGCACTTGCATTTGATTTTTCTTTAATTTCTTACGATTTTCACACAAGACTATCTCCGAATACTCAACACACACATTCATTTGCCTTGAATTATGGTGTTCCACTTACAGGATTAGTAGTAGATAGTAAACTTGATAGCACATTATAGGAAGGTAGGTGCATACCGTCTACTTTTATAATCATTCTAAACAGTTTTTGAATATTAAATATCAATATTATGAAGGGCATTGTGCTTTCTTGTGAATATAATAATATTAAATGAAGCATAAGTCACAATACTGAACATTGGCTGGAACATTTCATAAATGACCCACATACTCAAAGAGGGAAATCATGACTACTATTAGTACTACAGGTCAGCCATCACTAATCTGGCATCACTGGGACCTGTAGTGTGCCGGATTAGCGAGTCTGCCGGATTACAGAATACACACTTAATTAACCTATCAATAGAGACTCTTTGTGCTACATTTTCCTAGTTTTCATTACTGCTTTCTCCTCCACTGGCTTGCTGCTGTGAATTAACAACCATCTGCACAATTTCTGAGTCAGTATAATGATGAAATTTGAAATTATGCTAGCCGAAATTAGTGTCGGATTACTGACGGAACCAGATAACTGATTGCCAGATTTGTGATGGCCGACCTGTACTACTCGCCTGCTTTTTCCCTTCCCTTTTCTGACCGGTCTTCTAGCCTTCTTCCCTCTCTTCTGCAAAGTCGTGATTTAATAATGGTTCAGGACATACTAAAACGTAGTCAAGAATGCCATCTTACATGTATGACATGTAAAAATAACATACACAATGGAAATAAATTATTTTGAGTAACTGCAGGGATATCGTGGTTAACTTATCATAACCTACCACTTTTATATATCTACCTGTGACCAATTTCTAGTTTTGCTACTCTCTCAGCCCAGCCTGGCACCAGGCTCTCCTATTGATTATTAAGTTTATCTAGGTACAGGTACACATAAGTACAATTATCATGAAAATTACCTAAAAAAAAAAGGAACAAATATGAATATAAATTTATAAATTAGTTAATACTCTTTATTTAAAAATAGAAACGAAACATAATGACTTCAATGGAAATAAATCATCACAGAAGTGGTTAGGGGTGACTGTACCTGCCTAACAAGGAGCAATAGGCTTTCTGCAGTACACTATTCTTATGTAACTTAACATAAATTATGTCTTAAATTTTTTTGTTGCCTTTCAAGGCAGGTGAAATTGCTGACCTGAAAAATGTACAGAGAACCTTCACGGCACACATGAGTATGATAAAACACTTAAATTACTGGGAACAATTGAAGTTCCTCGATTTGTATTCCCTGGAAAGCAGGCGAGAAAGATACATGGTAACATACAACTGGAAAATCCTAGAGGACTTGGTACCAAATTTGCACACGAAAAATCATTCCCTATGGAAGCAAAAGACTCGGCAGGTGGTGCAACATCCTCCCAATGAAAAGCAGGGGTGCCACGAGTAGGCTAAGAGACAACACAATAAGTGTGAGAGGCCCAAGACTATTTAACTGCCTCCCAGCATACATAAGGGAGGATTACCAATAGACCCCTGGCTGTCTTCAAGAAGGCTCTGGACAGGCACCTAAAGTCAGTACCTGATCAGCCAGGCTGTGGTTTGTACGTCAGACTGTGTGTGATCAACAGTAACAGCCTTGTTGATCAGGGCCTGATCCACCACGAGGCCAGGTCACAGACCGGGCTGTGGGGGCGTTGACCCCCGAAACCCTCTCCAGGTATATTTAACCTGCCACCTGAATAACTCGCCGACATCGGTAATTTGAAAACCGTGACTTTGCTAGATATCATTATGGGCCCATAAAAAATATTATATACATTTAACCTACCATAACCTAATAAAGTCAATGGTACTTACTTCCACTGGGGTTATTTAGCATGCATTTAGCACTAAAGATGTCAGTAATAATTACTTTTGATGTGATAATTACAAAGTAACTGGGGAAGAGAAAAGGACCCCAATAAAAATAAGTCACTTTGTCTGCCTTGTTTGTGTTATCAGACGTAATTTACACACGTTAAACTATGAATGATAATTACATTTATCTACATCACAACCTAAATACTAATTTTATTATAACTTCAAACTACTGAACGTGAGTCATCACTCTAAACATTACTTAAAAATTAGCTCGACCACACAACATATATTACCAGAAATAACCTTGCCTGTAAAAAAGCATGGTATGCACCACATATCTATGACTATAAATAGCATCTACAGGGCTTTTTACCGGCATTATGGAGAAATAATAGTATGTAGGAGGCACCGCCCCTCAGATGCTGCTATCACTGTTTACATCACCAGCTGCTCCTCTCTAACTTATAATATATTAATTAAGTTACTAAGTTTATTCGGGTACAGGTACACATAAATGTACTTATATAAATTATCTTATATAAAACCATATGTGTAGATTATATAGGATAACCCCAAAAAAAGTCAGACAAATTGACTTATTTCCATTGTGGTTTTCGGACTTTCCACTGGAGTCCCTAAGTTTATTTAGGTAAACTTACTTATAATACAATTACTATACATTATTTAACACGTCTGTAAATTACCTAGGATAACTCCCCCCCCCCCCCCCAAAAAAAAAAAAAAAAAAAGTCCTTGAATTTCCACCACTAAGCCTGCATACATACATACATACATACATACATACATACATACATACATACATACATACATACATACATACATACATACATACATACATACATACATACATACAAGTGTTGGATGTCATACGAACAACTGAGGAGGAGGTGAAGAAGCTCTTAAGTGACCTTGACACCTCAAAGGCTTAGTTTTAGTTTAATATGTTTATTATGCACCCCATACCCATCCTGTGGGCGGTAGTCAAAAGATTACAGAGGTACATAATTGGTCCAGGGACTGGACTCCAAAGTTTTGATAGCTGAGCAAGTTACAGAGGTAATGAACTCACAATTTACAAAGGTAATGAACTCACAATTTACAAAGGTAATGAACTCACAATTTACAAAGGTAATAAACTCCAGGTAAGTCTGGTCACAATCATGACAACCTCAAAGGCGATGGGACCGGACATCTCCCCATGGGTCCTTAGAGAAGGAGCAGAGATGCTGTGCGTGCCTCTAACCACAATCTTCAACACATCCCTTGAAACTGGGCAACTACCTGAGAAATAGAAGACAGCTAATGTAGTCCCCATATTTAAGAAAGGAAACAGAAACGAGGCACTAAACTACAGACCTGTGTCTCTGACATGTATTGTGTGCAATGTCATGGAGAAGATTATCAGGAGGAGAGTGGTCGAACACCTGGAAAGGAACAAGATTATAAATGAAAACCAGCATGGGTTCATGGAATGCAAATCTTGTATCACAAACCTCCTGGAGTTTTATGACAAGGTAACAGAAGTAAGACACGAGAGAGAGGGGTGGGTAGATTGCGTTTTCCTAGACTGCAGGAAGGCCTTTGACACAGTTCCCCACAAGAGATTAGTGCAGAAGCTGGAGGATCAGGCGCATGTAAAAGGGAGGGCACTGCAATGGATAAGGGAATACCTGACAGGGAGGCAGCAACGAGTCATGGTACGTGAAGAGGTATCACAGTGGGCGCCTGTTACGAACGGGGTCCCACAGGGGTCAGTTCTAGGACCAGTGCTATTTTGATATATGTGAACGACATGATGGAAGGAATAGACTCTGAAGTGTCCCTGTTCGCAGATGACGTGAAGTTGATGAGAAGAATTAAATCGGACGAGGATGAGGCAGGACTGCAAAGAGACCTGGACAGGCTGGACATGTGGTCCAGCAACTGGCTTCTCGAATTCAATCCAGCCAAATGCAAAGTCATGAAGATTGGGGAGACATGATAACGACATACAAGATACTGCGGGGAATAGACAAGGTGGACAGAGATAGGATGTTCCAGAGAGGGGACACAGGGACAAGGGGTCACAACTGGATGCTGAAGACTCAGACGAGTCACAGGGACATTAGGAAGTATTTCTTCAGTCATAGAGTTGTCAGCAAGTGGAATAGCCTAGCAAGTGAAGTAGTGGAGGCAGGAACCATACATAGTTTTAAGAAGAGGTATGACAAAGCTCAGGAAGCAGAGAGAGAGAGGATCCAGTAGCGATCAGTGAAGAGGCGGGGCCAGGAGCTGAGTCTCGACCCCTGCAACCACAATTAGGTGAGTACAATTAGGTGAGTACATACATACATACATATATGCATACATGCTATATACATATATATATATATATATATATATATATATATATTATATATATATATATATATATATATATATATATATATATATATATTATATATATATATATATATATATATATATATATATATAAATGTCGTGCCGAATAGGCAGAACTTGCCATCTTGGCTTAAATAGCAACGTTCATCTTGCCATATTGGACAAGTGAGAATTTGTGTATACAATAATTTCGCCAAAATCATTCTGAATCTAACGAAAAAAATATATTTGATTGTCTTTGTTTAGTATTAAATTATTGTAAACGTATTTAAAATATATTTAGTTGGGTTAGACTAAAATCAATTGTTCTTATTATAATAAGGTTAGGTAAGTTTTCTAAGATTCTTTTGGTGCAAAATTAAATTTTTTTACATGAACATTAATGAAAAATATATATATTTAAACGTATAAGAGAAAATTTTCGAAGGGTCTTAATTTTAAATGAGTTCTTGCTAATTGACCACTTTTACATATTCGGCACGACATTATATATATATATATATATATATTTTATATATAATATATATATATATATATATATATATATATATTATATATATATATATATAAATATATATATTTAATATATAAATATATTATATATATATAATATAATATATATATATATATATAATATATATATATATATATTATATATATATATTTATTATATATATACACACAATTGAAATTAGCGATGCATTATATACATTTTTTTACTACCTGGAAAACTAAATCAATTTAGTATTACGAGCGTTAAGCGTCTATATTTTTATTCGTCTATATTTTTTTTCGCCGGTATTCTCCCGGCCTGGGTCTTTTCCAAGTAGTGGTGACCCGGCCTTGGCTCCCTATCTGGGGAGTGTCTCGAGACTTAAGTCTCCCATGGGAGGAGGTACAAGTACCCCCTCATCTTTGGGACCAAGTGTCCCCAGGCCTAGCCACATTCCCCGCCCTCACGGGGCTCGTAGGGAGAAGCTAGGCCTCTGGTCTGCCATCTGCCCCGCCCCAAAGGGGCTCGTGGGGATGGCAGTCTTATGAGCTGCAGATGGTAGCAAGCTCAGGCCTTCTCTACGTCTATATTTCCCTATCAACAATTATACTTAAAATAAACAAACAAATATTTTGTAATAAACTGAAACTATGCGCAATTTTTTTTTTTGATGTCTAAAAAATAAAATTAATCCCATATTTAAAGGCATCAAGCTTCTATATACTCATATATTATATTCTAATCGATAGATAATAATAAACAAAAAGTAACTGTTGTTATAAAATGAAAATTTAAATTATTTCATATAATATAGATGTAAGCTAGTTGCCCCTCCCCAGGGAGGCACCAGTGTACACCTGACTCTGGTGCTGCTGGTGTTGACCTCTAGCTCCTGGTTATATACACTCTACAGGTAGGTGTTTATATACCCAGATGTGTGTTTATACACCCAGATGTGTGTTTATACACCCAGATATGTGTTTATACACCCAGATGTGTGTTTATACACCCAGGTGTGTTTATACATCCAGATGTGTTTATACACCCAGATGTGTGTTTATACACCCAGGTGTGTGTTTATACACCCAGGTGTGTGTTTTATACACCCAGGTGTGTGTTTATACACCCAGGTGTGTGTTTATACACCCAGGTGTGTGTTTATACACCCAGGTGTGTGTTTATACACCCAGGTGTGTGTTTATACACCCAGGTGTGTGTTTATACACCCAGGTGTGTGTTTTATACACCCAGGTGTGTGTTTATACACCCAGATGTGTGTTTATACACCCAGGTGTGTGTTTATACACCCAGGTGTGTGTTTATACACCCAGGTGTGTGTTTATACACTTAGGTGTGTTTATACATCCAGATGTGTTTATACACCCAGATGTGTGTTTATACACCCAGGTGTGTGTTTATACACCCAGGTGTGTGTTTATACACCCAGGTGTGTGTTTATACACCCAGGTGTGTGTTTATACACCCAGATGTGTGTTTATACACCCAGGTGTGTGTTTATACACCCAGGTGTGTGTTTATACACCCAGGTGTGTGTTTATACACCCAGGTGTGTGTTTATACACCCAGGTGTGTGTTTATACACCCAGATGTGTGTTTATACACCCAGGTGTGTGTTTATACACCCAGGTGTGGTGTTTATACACCCAGGTGTGTGTTTATACACCCAGGTGTGTGTTTTATACACCCAGGTGTGTGTTTATACACCCAGTGTGTGTTTTATACACCCAGGTGTGTGTATACACTTAGGTGTGTTTATACATCCAGATGTGTTTATACACCCAGATGTGTGTTTATACACCCAGGTGTGTGTTTATACACCCAGGTGTGTGTTTATACACCCAGGTGTGTGTTTATACACCCAGGTGTGTGTTTATACACCCAGGTGTGTGTTTATACACCCAGATGTGTGTTTATACACCCAGGTGTGTGTTTATACACCCAGGTGTGTGTTTATACACCCAGATGTGTGTTTATACACCCAGGTGTGTGTTTTATACACCCAGATGTGTGTTTATACACCCAGGTGTGTGTTTATACACCCAGGTGTGTGTTTATACACCCAGGTGTGTGTTTATACACCCAGATGTGTGTTTATACACCCAGGTGTGTGTTTATACACCCAGGTGTGTGTTTATACACCCAGGTGTGTGTTTATACACCCAGGTGTGTGTTTATACACCCAGGTGTGTGTTTATACACCCAGGTGTGTGTTTATACACCCAGGTGTGTGTTTATACACCCAGATGTGTGTTTATACACCCAGGTGTGTGTTTATACACCCAGGTGTGTGTTTATACACCCAGTGTGTGTTTATACACTTAGGTGTGTTTATACATCCAGATGTGTTTATACACCCAGATGTGTGTTTATACACCCAGGTGTGTGTTTATACACCCAGGTGTGTGTTTATACACCCATGTGTGTGTTTATACACCCAGGTGTGTGTTTATACACCCAGGTGTGTGTTTATACACCCAGATGTGTGTTTATACACCCAGGTGTGTGTTTATACACCCAGGTGTGTGTTTATACACCCAGGTGTGTGTTTATACACTTAGGTGTGTTTATACATCCAGATGTGTTTATAC